GACATGGGGCTTGAACCCACAAACAGTGAGATCATGAGCTGAGCCAAAGTCAGATGCTTAAACGACTGAGCCACCCAGGTGTCCCTCTACCAAACTTTAAAAAAAAGATTACACCAAAGACTTGGGGAGGGGGGAAAAAAAGAAAAATTTCCAACTTCCAATATTGATGTATACAAATATGTGTATATAATTATGCATAAACAAGAACTATATATCAGATTAATCTCACTTATCATTATCTCAAATAAAATGTTAACAAATAAAATTTAGTAGAACATTTGGAAAATAATACATCATGGTCATTTGGAATACATACTTCAAATACAAGGATGGTTGCACATGAGGAAAAAAGTCAAAGGAAAATATTAGGGGAAAAATCAGCTATTCAATCTCCACAGATGCCTAAAAAAACATTTCATAAAATTCAATAAGCATGTTTGATAATAACAATAAATAAGAAGAGATGAAAATTTCTTTAACATGCTATTTGCAGCTCAGCCCAAAAGCCAGTATTATGCTTAGTGAGGAAATCATGCCTACGGATTCAGGAACAAGACAATGATAAATACTCTATTAAATATGATTTAACATTGTATTTTATTTTCCACCCTGTAGAATTACAGAACACAAATTAACTAGAGATACAATAATTGGAAAGCTGTAAGTAAAAGTATTACTATTTTCAGGAGTTTTAAGTATTACTTAGAAAACACAAGAGATTAAAAGAAAAAAAACTATAGCAACTTAAGAAATTGACAAGACTTTTATAAAGAAAATCTTATAAAAAGACAACAGAAACTGAAACAAATGGGAAGACATATTCATGTTTGGGGGCAGAATCATCAATATCTTAAAGACCTCAGTAAGCCTAATTTAAAATTTTAAGTTTAACTTGATGCAATAAGAATTCCAATTGCTTCTTTTTTCTAACCAAGTTAAAATTGATCCTAAAATTGATACAGAGGGATGCCTGGGTGGCTCAGTCGGTTGAGCCTCCAACTTTGGGTCAGGTCATGATCTCGCAGTCTTGTGAGTTCAAGCCCCACATCCAGCTTTGTGCTGTCAGCTCAAAGCTTGGAGCCCGCTTTGGATTCTGTGTCTCCCTCTTTCTCTGCCCCTCCCCTGTTCACACTCTCTCCCTCTCTCTCAAAAATAAACATTAAAAAAAAAAGAAGGAAATGCTCTAAAATTCATATGGAAAAATAAACAAAATAGAAAAACCGTGTAGAACAAAAGCAATAAGGATGGGGGGGAGGTGAGCACATCAAATAGTAAAACATATTATAAAACCTGAAAAGAGACTCGAAAATAAATGAATTAAATAAAATCATAAAGTGCAGAAATAAACTCAAATACATATGTGAATTTAGTATATCTAGCATCTCAAAACAGCAGAGAAAAAACTCAACAGATGATGGCTGGACAAATGGGCAGTCATCCAGAAAAAACAAAGTTAGACCCTTAACTCTTGCTTTACACCATAATGAAATCTAAATGAATCAAAGATACAAATGTGAAATGAAATCATAAATATTCTAGAAGAAAAAATGGGGAAATTCTTTTAAATTCTTGAAGAAGAAATACCTTTTCAACTATGACTCAAAAATCTGGAACTCACAAAAGAAAAAATAATAATAAATTCAACTAAATAAAAATACAATACTTATGAGGTAAAAAAAAAATCGTAACTAAAATTAAAATGACAAACTGGTAAAAATATATTTGCAATTTATATCATAGACAAAGAACTAATTTCCCTAACATATAGAGAGAGCCTATAAATTAAGGACACAATTTTTTTAACATACAAAAGAAACAGTTCACATAAAAAAATACAAATGGTTTTTAAACGAATGTGAAAATACTTAACTACACTCCTAATAAGAGAATGCAAATTAAAATCACACTGAAATATTATTTTTTACCTATCAGATTGGAAAAGATCAAAAACAATACATCACATACTGTAATGGTAAGGATGTGGGAAAATACGTAGAATTACACATTTCTGGTTTGCTAATAAGAGGATAAAACCTCTACAGTAGCAATTTGACAGTATCTACCAAAAAGTTCAAACCTCTGACCCAGAAACTTAATTTCTTGAACTGTATCCTGCAAGATATACATGTGGAAAATGGCATGTGTATAATATACCTAAATGTTAGCAGCTAAAGACTAATTAAAGTATGAAAAAAAATGAGACATAAAGCAGTTTGTAAAGTATGTTCAACTGAGGGGAAAAAAGCAAGGTGAAAAACTGGGTCAAGTATGCTACCATCTAAATAAAAAAGAAGGGGAATATATGTATTTATCATCTTTCACATATGAACACCACCACTCTACGAATGCACTGGGAAGAGGAAGCGGGCGACTGAAGGATGGGGATTAAAGAAAGACTTTTTACTGCATACTCTTTGTACATTCTGAAGTTTACCAAATGAATGCATTATCATCCAAAAATAAATAAATATTAAATAAATAAAATAAAATGCAAGTCTGGTCATGTCATCTGCTTTCAACAGCTTCCCACCACCCTTAATATTAAGTCTAAATGTCTTAAGCTGGGCTTGTAAAACCTTACATGATCTGCAACTTATCTCCCCAGTTTCACCTCTAACCATTCTCTCTACATTCCACAGCCCAGCCACACTGAACCTTTTACAGTTCCTTAAATAAACTTTATTCCATCTTGCTTCTGAACTTTAGCAAATCCTATTCTTCTCAAAGACTAGAATATTCTTCATCACCCTCTTCATATGACTAATGCCTACTGCAAAGACTCAAACAAAATCACTGCTTCCATAAAGCTTTTCTTGATACCCCGCCCTCAAGTCTCAGTTGGACACCCACCCTCTGTGCCCTCCTAGCATCCTAGAATTCTATGATAGTGCTTTTTAATATATATAACAGTTTAGTTTAATTGTGTCCCTCAAGAACATAAGTTCTGGGATGGAAACATTATATCTACCTCTACTTCTACTAAAGTCCCAGGGCTAACAATGTCTGGTATAAAGTTGGCATTTAATGAATATTTATAAGTAAACTGAATTAATTTAATTAGTGAATAAATGTATAAATAAGTAAATGAATTAGACAGGAAGGAAGGGAGGGGCACAGATAGATTCAGTAAAGAAAATAATAAGACAAGCTCTACTACAGGCTTTTCCTTAATATATGTTCCTTAAAGTCATCTACATATCTTGTCTATTAACAGTCCTCGTACCAACCTTGAAAATTCTATTATAGCCAACAGATTTTAATTTCTATAAAATCGTTAATTGATAACAAAATGGCCATATATTATCTTTATTCAAATTTACTACTGAAACTAAGAGTTGTAAATTAGATTTTGTAAATATTCTATTCTATGACTTAAGAGTTTGATTGCACTCTGTAGCACATAAATGTTTCACAATTTATAGTTATCATTAACAGTCACAAGTATTTAGCAATCCGAATGCACATGAATTTAAGAAATTCTATTCTCTAATTTCATTTAACATCTTAAAATTATTAATCTTTCTTATATCAGACCCTGGATTTTTGCATACTTCTGCAGTTTAATCTTGCAAGTAGCATTTCCAGGCAATAGAAAGAGTTCTAAAATTAACAAACTAGAGAAGACTTTTGGTATTGAAAGATTTAGCATTTGTATATTCAACTATCTTCAATACATGTAAAGTCCAATGTATTAGTGGAAACCACAATGAGATAGCATTCCATTCTTACTAGGATGGCTTGAAAGAAAGAAAGAAAGAAAGAAAGAAAGAAAGAAAGAAAGAAAGAAAGAAAGAATTACAAGTATTAGTGAGAGTGTAAAGAAACTAGAATACTTGTGCCCTGCTGGTGATAATGTAAAAAGGGTGCAGCTGCTGTGAAAAAGTATGACAGTTCCTCAAAAAGTTAAACATAAAGTTATTATATGGTCCAGCAATTCACATTTGGGTACATACCAAAAAGAATTGAAAGGAGAGACTGAAATAGATACTTATACACCAAATATTCATAGCAGCATTATTCTCAATAGCCAAAAGGTAGAAAGAACCTAAATGTCCATCAACAAATGATTGCATAAAAGAAAATGAAGTATAGACATACAATGAAATACTACTCAAACTTAAAAAGGAATGAAATTCTGACAATGAAATGGATCTTGAGGACATTATGTTAAGTGAAATAAATCAGATACAAAAGGATAAATATATGATTCCACTTATATACCTATAATAGGCAAATTCAAAATATAGAAGGTAGAACAGAGGTTACCAGGGGCTTTGGGAAAAGGAAAATGAGGAGTTACTTAACCAGTGTAGACTCTATTTGGGATGATGAAAAAGTTCTGGAGATGGATGATGGTGATTAGGGCACAATATTGTGAGTGTACTTAATGCCATTGAATTATACACCTAAAAAATATAGTTAAAATGGCAAATTTTGTTATGTATATTCTCCCACAAAAAAGATTAAAAAACCATAATGTCCTATCATCATATTAATACATGCCCAAGACTGTACTTATTATCATCCCTCCTAAGCCAAATTCCAAACCCAATTTTTCCATTTCAGTCAAAGGGTTCCTTAGGGAGTTAAAGCTTAAAATACTTGCATACCCTCTGTTTCCCCTCATTTCTTTAACTACTAGATCCCTTTATTGCTATGTTCTAAAAATGTATCTTTTACATTGTTCATGCTTTCTTCTGCATCTTAATAAGTTGTTTTAGCTACGGACAACAGACTTTAAAACTTATCAAATTTCTAAACTTAACCAATATAGCATAAGTTCACTTATGTTAAACAGTAAACTAATAGAAATATATAAAGTTTTAATAAAAACTGGTTTGAACTGTTTATTACTGCTAAAGTAACAATAAATCACTCCACTATTAAATTCTAACCTTGATCAAAATAATTAATCTTTAAGAATATCCATATTTATTTTGTACATTTATACAACTTCACATTAATCTTCCAATGTCATCAATGAATATTTTATACCTTACCTTTGTATGGTATTCCATAGCGTCCAATTCACCTTGATTGAAAACAACACATCTTTTACGCTTCTAAAGAGTAAATTACAGGGAAAAAATTATGTTGCCATCTATCACAATATTGATAATTTGAAATATATTAGTATTTCTTTTTCATCACTTTTCCATAGCATGTATCTCAGTCTTTAAGAGGTGATAATTGACAACTAAGGTCAAAATCAGTGAAAAGGGCATGGACTAAATAAAAAATTCTATTTTTATTTATTATTATTATTATTATTATTATTATTATTATTATTAGCTTAATGAGTGATACAAGGTCACCTTAGCTTTATCTGCCATTAATAAGAACTAGTACCAATGATAAAATGTAGCACAGACATCCAGGTAACACAAGAAAGCTGATGCTGTATAAAGTTACAAGTGTTATCTATCAGTTAATATATATGGTATAGTTACTCCCAACTTCTTCGTTTCTGAGGAGAGGATCTATCCATGTTCCATCTTTAAAAAAAAATCCAATGTATTTTCAATAGCTCTTTATGATTGATTTGAGGGCTAGGTACAAATCAAACATACTAACACAGTTCTATCTGTAACAACTCCATAGAAAAGAACATGTAAGACAGTACAAAATAGAGCAGGAACTTCCTACTTCTTACTGCTGAAACAGCAGTGCTTGCCATAGTCACAAATTCCTAGTAGGCTAATAATAAATGTTTGCTGGCTGAATAAATAAAAGGTCTTAAGATTAAGCTAATTGTACAATTTGCTTTGGCATATCAGAAATAAGGTAAGTTTTGTCAAGATAATTCATTAAATAAGTTTATCTATATTTTTCCATACTGAAGTGAGAAACTTATCCAACATAACAGTATACACATTAAAAGATGTCCATACTTGGTAAACTGCAAATGCTGGTTATTATTTGTCTGAATTAGTAACAGTAATGATAAATCTATATAGTATTTTACTGAAATCTCCATTCTATGGAGATTCTATGGAGATTTTCCATTCTATGCCTGACACACAGCAAATGGTCAATAAATATTTGTTGAAAGAAAAAAATTATAAGAATATTAAAAGTTCTACTTTGGGAAACTAGAACAATGTAATAAATTATCTCTATTACTTTCTTTATTCTAATTCTTAACATGCTTTCTCATTTAATATCTTTCTTTATGGACCTCAATTATAAGATCCATGAGGGCAGGACTTGTGTTGGTCTTGTTTCATCCCTGTATGTACAACAGCACACAGAAAGATCCAAAACAAAACAAAACAAAATGAACAAATAAAAAAGATCTCAAACATTTGTGGATGAGTAATAAATGTTATTCCTATCTTAATATAATCTGATATGGACTTTATATAATCACCTCTGAACTCTTCAGAAACATAAGAAGTATTAAAATATAATTTGATCCTGTATGGTACTCTTGAAACTTCACCAAAAGACTGCACCAGTGTATAAATGGACAGGTCTCTAAAAACCTCCCAAAGTCCATATACTGCTTTAGAATTTTGCAGAGAAAGCAGCATGTTGTTGAAAAAAACAAATGTAAAAAATGCAATTAATACAAATGACTAAGCAGAAAGAGTTTTGTTTGTTTAGTTCGGTTGGTTTAATTTACACAGCATTCACTTTTGAGCAAACATTGCTTGCTTTTGAAATATGCAAATTTGGTCTTCTAAGAATGCCAGAACGTTAGTAAAGAGTTCAAAATTATATTGGATACACTAAAGCCTTCCTACACTTTATTGATTATTTAGACATAGTAAATTACAAGATATTTGAGATACTGGAATAACAAACTTCTTTTGTGTGTTCTGTAGAAAAATAAAAATTTATTAAAACTTTCTACCTTTCCAATAATAGAATTGAAGTTTTCTTCTTTAACACCACTCATTGGATCCTCCTTTTCATTCCTTTGTTGGCATTCTTTGTAAACAGCTGGAGTTATGTAAGGTTTGGTGACATTAAATAGCTCAGATCGAAAAACATATTTCTGTATGAAGACTTCACTATTTCCTCTGTCATCATAATCTGGCTTAGAGGCAGAGTCAAAAGCAATAAACGTAGTAGAGGTTCCAAAAGAGGTCAAACAAGGCTCGTGATACTGGTGAAGTTGATAGTTTATGTTGTTAATGAAAGAAAGATGATCTAGTAACCATCCTGGTGACAGCTGATGCACCACAGACATTTTCTTCTTTAAAAAAAAAAAAAAAAAAACCTCTGGAAATTAAGGTCTAGATATAAAACCCAACTTTCCAGATAAGTTCTTAAATGTCCTGCATTTCCATAAAAATACACTTCATATACACAGGTAGATTTCACGTATAAGAATATAAACTTGACATTTAAACAAAAGAGAATTTGACATTCATGATACATTAAGGAAAAATGTAATGTTTTAATATAAACTTTTAATTTCAGGGTTAATTCAAAATTTTCAGCCAATTTAGCAAAAGAGAATTAAAACTTGATCTTATTTCTGGAATCTCAATTGAATCCTCCCATCTTCCTGGGCCCTCCACACAACTTTCTGTTTGCTCCTTGAAACTGGCCACTAGGTCCACATCCTCCAAGTCAGGGAGTCATTCAAGATAGTGTCCTGTCAAAGCAAAGAATACTACATTACCTATGTGAATCCACCCTTTTTAATGAGATAAACCTAGAGAGGTCACAGAATTTCAAGAGGAGTTATTAGCTGATCAGCCCTTTTTTTTTTCAAAGCACATTTTCTGTAAGTCAGCCCATTCTCCAGTAATAATACTACCCTGTTTAACCAATGCTACCAAAAGAGTGCAAAAAGGGTAAAATGAAAGACTGGTCTAGGCAGAGCACAATTTTAACAGATATCATAAGTATCAAACCCTAGCAAAATTCAAAATTGCAAGGTTATGGTTAAGGTAATTGGTTCTGAGCAGTCCTCCTCCAGCAACTAGGTTTTTCAAAACTTCCTTATCTTTTTATAAAAGATGGTAAAGTTCTCAACATTGCTTACTAAATCCAGTGTAATGGAGAACTTAAGAGAGGGACAGAATAAAATACGTATAAGGGGTTAATAGCACAGTTAGTAATACTAGACTTAGATCCAACCTTCCAACTCCAGGTAGCAGTACGGCCATGGGCAAGTTATTTGATCTCACTGAGCCCCAAATTCATCATTTTCTAAGACATCTCAGATGGCAGTTTAGAGAATTAAATGACATAATCTACATGAAGTGCTGTGCAGTACCTGACACATCGCATTGTTCAAATACTACTAGTAACGGTAATGCTGGTGCTGGCCCTGCCTTCAGAGTCACCACTAATGTAGTATCTAGGGAGAGCCAAAAATGTAGTCGAGAAGACTGAAACTCAGAAAAGGCGACGTGCCCCAAACTTCAATTCTAGTTAACCGCACAATTGCTCCAACAATCAGGTATCCGGACTTTGGCTCAAAGGTTTCCTTCCACCCCCACCACTCTCCAGGTACTGGGCAGTACTCGTCTCTGACTTCAAACTCAGCGAAGCGGAAAGTCTTATTTTAGCAAAGTAAACTATTGTGCTTAAACTCTATTTCACCTACCTCTCTGCTTCACACCGAACCCCACCCCCCAGCCCCGTGGGTTCCTCCTAGCTTCACTCGCGGGCCACCGCTAGAGGACCATGAAACCCTAGCGAGCAAATTGCCAACCCGAACCCTAGCGGTGACCACTAGGGTTCGATCCTCGAAGCCAACTACACCCTACCTCAGCATTAACTATCTCCTACCTCACTGCTTCCTCTGTCAGAAAATTGCACGACGCCTCCCAGACTTGCATTATGAAAACAGCACCCTTCTAAAGAGTGGTCATGAAAGACGCCACTTGCACAGCAAAGCAATTTCTCCTTTCCTACGAGCCGACGGGCGCGGCCATGTTGCTGTACGGAAAACGTGTTTCCAGGGCGATTTGGAGCGCTCTGCCCGCTAATTAGCGACGCAGAGCGCCCGCGTCTTCAGCGCTAACTTTAGAAATCCGACCAGACGTTGGAGCGGACGTTTGCACTGACCAGAGACACCAGTATGCTGAGTGAGACGATGGGACGCGCTCAATACGCACCGTTCCAGGGACTGGGAGCGGCGCGTAAGATTTGCGTAGCCGCGCGACGTACGTGATGACGTAAGCGCCGGCGGAGATTTTAAAATTCGAACCGCGCTGGCGGGTGGAAGGAAGAATTGGTGTTTTGGCGGCTGCTGTCCTGTCCCTCAGATAGTTGCACAGGTTACAGAAATTCGGTCCCTGGGTCGTGTCACGAAACTGGAAGAAAGGTAACTTTGGGTTAATTTCGTGCAGGCAGAAGTGTTCTGAAGGGAGAAAGTGATGGCGCCAACAACTTAGATTTAGAGGTCCTGAGGGACGTTTTAGTGTCTACTGTTGTGAGAGGCCTCCGGGGCAGAGTCTGTGCGAGGCGCGTTTCCCGGAGTCTATCAATAAATTTCTACTGACAGTGATTTACCGAGGGAGAAGAGGAGGGACTAGGAGCATAGTGGTGGGGAGAAGACAGGCTGGAGGAAAGGGGAAGAATTGATACGCGCAGGGAGTGGAAGGACAAGATGAACTGTTTCAGATGTTGCGTGAGATACTCCTAGTGGGCGTGTAAGGAAGTCTTAATCTTAAATTAGGTTTTAAGTAGAGATTTGGAGTGCACATATAGGTGAGTGGGAAAGTTGAATGGATAGTAGAAATGTATAAAGGAGAAGAAATTGGTGGCCTATCGAAGATGGAAAGTGTAATCAGTTTGAAAAAAATGTTTTTAATGTCTGTTTATTTTTGAGAGAGAGAGGGAGCGAGCGAGCGAGTAGGGGAGGAGCAGAGAGAGAGGGAGACACAAAATCTGAAGCAGGTTCCAGGCTCCAAGCTATCAGCACAGAGCCCAATGCGGGCCTCGAACTCACAAATTGTGAGATCATGACTTACCTGAGCCCAAGTCGGTCGCTTAACGGACTAACTGAGCCACCCAGGTGCCCCGGAAAATGTAATCAGTTCAAAAGACAAATGACAGCCCAGAAAAGAGAAGGGATAACAGCAAATGTCCACTTCCCAGGAAGCCAGGCCAGGACCTGAGAAATCTTAAGTGTATAGTGTCGAATGCCACACAGAGATGAGAAAGGATCGAAAGTTTTGTCAATCATGAGTATCCTAGGAGGCAACAGTTTCAGTAGATATGCAGGAAATGAAGTGTTAATTTTCTCAGAAATGAGAATCAGTAGACCATTTTGTGGACAGATAATTAATCTTTGTTAGAAGAGGGATTGAAGTAAGTGGGGCAGTGATTGAGTATAAATGGGAAACAGTGGGTTAAGGACAGAACAAGAGAGATGGAGGTTAGGAAAAGAGAATAGCTGTATTCTCTAAGACCAAAGAAAAGGAAACATGTTGAGGTAGTTCTTGTCAGGCCGTCTCTGACTTTTTCCCGGTGAAGTCAGTACAGCCAACAGCAGTAATGTGGTCTAGGTGAGGATTCAAGGCTTTAACTACCATAGATACCCTTGCAAAGGCAGGAATTATACCTTATTTATCAGTGTATCGTTTCAGTTGCCTTGCACACTCCCAGTGTACACGGTAGGCAGTAAGTAAATATTCGTGTGTGTTGAATAGTTTTAAATGAAGTTAGATAGATTTCCCTGCAAATGAGGGCTTCACCTGCCTGAACATGAGGGCCCAGGAAAACATTATCTTGAAGAAACAACGGAACTTGGCTGCCTTCTGTTTGAGGATGAAGATAACAGTTGGTGCTTAATGCACCATCTATATCTGAAAAGATTTTTTAATATTGAATTCGTGAATGCAGGTAATAAGCATGAAGCGCAGTTCAGTTTCCACCGGTGGTGCTGGCCGCCTCTCTATGCAGGATTTAAGGTCTCAGGATTTCAATAAACAAAGCCTCCATACCCCTCAAACGTAAGTACCTCACACCTTACTATCTTGGACAAAGAAATCTGTAAAGACGGTTAATACAAAAATGTACTATGAGTGATGTTCTGATGAATCTTGTTTGCTCACGGTGGTACCCAATTTGGGGTCAGTGAAGGGTAAAAACTGGCATGTATTACATGTGTTTTATCTAATTTGTTCCTTAAATTTCCAAAGCTACACCCTTTGCCAGGCAACCTCTAAAAAAGACTGAGTTCCCTGCCAGCACTCTTTTCCTTATTTTCCTCCTTTTTTCTAGACCTGCTAATGTGAGTGGGCTCATTGCTACAACTTTGAATTTACTAAAGTATATCCAACCAGCAAAATTCTTAATCAGAGTTATTCAATGATAAGCTGGTTTAGAATAACCTACAGAACCACTTCTTCAAACTGTTTTCTCATTATTCACTGGAAAAAGGGGTGTATAGTTTACTATCATAAACTAGTTTTTCTCTGTGAGTTTCTTCTAATTAAGAGAAGACTATTTGTGAGCCACTGTAGAGCTATATCAGTCCTTCCCTAATACCAAGGTACAAGGTACTTGCTAACTGTACTTAGGCCACTTATGTTTATGTAGTATAAGCCCCTGCTACTTTTAGAAATTTGAAATATTTGTATCTTTTCCTTCTGAATCAGATAAATTTGTTGTACTATTACACATTACATACACTGAAAGATTAAATTTATGCCTCAAATTGTATTGGAAGCCAGAAGGCTGCTATTGTCAATGTTTTGATTCTGTTGTTTAAATAATATGTGTTTTTAAGTGTAGCTGCAATCCGACAGAGTAGGCCTTAAAAGAAAAATGTTAAATGTAGCTATCATCCTCTGACTGGAGATACTTACTTTTAAGTCTTTTTCCTGTTACCCATAAATGTACATACTTTAAGATAATTGAAATCAGAATGTAGATATGTTTTTTTTTTCTGCTTTCTTCTTAACACTTTAGTATTCCTGCTTACACATGTTGTTAGGTTAGCCTATCCCATTTATAAGAAGCTATGATTGCTACTAAAAATTTTCATGATTCTGAGTTATTTTTATAGGTAATGGGGAAAAGGTTTTAGTTCCAATGTATTTCTAAAAGTTTCTTAAACTAATATTTTTTGTATTTATTTTTTAAAGTTTTTGTTTGTTTGTTTGTTTGTTTTTCCATTTTGCTAAAGCAAAGAGAAGCCAGGCTTTGGAAAGTTGAGTATAAACAAACCCACATCTGAAAGAAAAGTCTCTGTATTTGGTAAAAGGTAATGATGTTTTTTTA